CATTGGTCGAAGTAATTGCAAAAAATGTTGGGTGTTGCTCTGCAAATAAAAAAAAAACACCCTAAAGAAAGAACACTGAAAATTTAAGGTTTTCCAGGGGCAACAGAGGAAACCATGGCTGAACCCTGGTGTAAAAAAAAGAAGATAATCGGCCTCACATATCCTTAGGCTATTACGCCTATATGAGGTCGAGTGAGAATTTGTAGAAGTTTAAAGACTGGGTTCATATGCAACAGTACAGCAACATCGAATAGTTAGACCACTAAAGCTGGTATTTGTAAATGAGGTGGCACCAAGGATCCAGATGAAAGGAAAGGTAACCTTTGAGATATTGAAGATATAACAGAAAAGTATACCTTGAATATGGCATGAATGAAGATGAAATAAAGAGAAACACAGTTGAAAGAACAAGAAGGAAGGAGGAAGAGGAGGAGAGAGAAGGTTTGAAGTGAAGAGTGAGACTAGGGAAATGGGGGGAAGAAACCCACACCACTTCTAGGCAGCTTAAGTAACTACGAATTCAAATTAGTGACATGAGGCGGAGGCAGGCATCTAACAGATTACAACAAAAACATTCGAGGAGGCATATAGTTACAATCAGTAACTAGTGTTGACAACAAGAAAATAGCCCAGGCTCTACACCTATAGCATACCCCAAGCCATATATGACAACCTCCCAAAGCAGATTTTTCATTCCACCTATTCCCTCTCCCATTGATTCCTGTTTCACTTCATATATCTATAGACTTTCCCAAACCAACAAGCCACCCCTCCCTTTCCTTTACCAATTACTCCACTATCTATCACGACCTCACTGCCCTCCTCTCCCAGGGTCTCTTCCCCAACCATTCTACCAATCCTTTCTGTACCTTCCACACACCTGAAGCAGCCCAGTATCGCACTCCGAGGCTGGAAGCTGGCCCATACAGGGAACAGAGTTGAAATGAAGAGCCTAAATTTCTGGTTCACAAATGATGATGGTATGTCAAACAAAGCAGATGAACTGAAAAAAGGACTGGTGAAACAAACGCTGAAATAAAAGCAATAGTATAAATTAAATTAAATTAAATGATCACAAATGATTTTACGAACTCACTTAGCCAGCAACTCTGGTTATTTTCGTCTCTCTTTCTACAGTGCCTCTTATCTTCACAGATCCAATCCCAAGTCAGGGTCAAGTTAACAAGAAGTGAGGAGTAATAGACAACTAAACTGGGAAAGGGGTGGTTAAACACTAGACAAAACCATCACCAAATGTACTTAAATATTATGAACAGGTAATTGTCTACAAGAAATCACAATGATTGTGATTTCTGTGTGTAATGAAGTAAGGGTGAAGAGGAAGAACGGCCTATTAACATAGCTCGAGTGCATGGGGGAGTTGTGTAAAACCATGGTTCGTGTCTCGGAGAGGCTGCAGGATCTAAGAAAGTTCAGTAGAACTTCTGGTTAAAACTCTTTTACCATGTCGTAGCTCAGTCGATTAAGGCAGCGTCTGGGATGATCTCGGACGTAGGTTCGAATCCTCGTCACGGCCGGCCCTTGTGGATTTGTTTATAATGTTGGATTTATAGATAGAGATAGTACATGCAATACCTAAAGCCATTAATATTCACAGCATTTCGGGCAAGGTGTGGGGAGAAAAATCACTAGACTAAAGATTAATACTAACTGAGATTAAAGTATAAATTATGTTGAAATAAGGAAAGGAATAATTATGTTGAAATAAGGAAAATTTTTATTTCAACATAAATTATGTTGAAATAAAAAAGTTGGGGAGGGTGAACATGGCAGAAATCAGCAATTAAACAACTTGGTCAACAAACAGTATTGTTTGAAAATAGCAAGAAAATTTTTGACATTTTGACATATAGAGGGTGAGGTAGGTAGCATGGAGTTTATTAGGTTGCACTTAGTTTATATATTATCCCAGACGCCACATCCCAGATTGTTCAGCCAGAAGGGTATTAGAGATCTGGTGGCAGGTGCGACGCTGACCGAGGTGGAAAACAACACCATAATAAAGCAATTCAAATAGTATCAAAGTAAATAATAAGCTAACTGCTAGTGCGAGTGAGAACTGTAATGAAGATGTTGGAGACTATGATGTGAATACGTGTGCTGATAAAAGTGACTGGAAGGGACATAGCAGTGATGGAGATGACGAATGTGATTGTGATATAGTCTAAATCGCAACCAGCGATGCTCGTAGCAATAATGGAGACGAGGAACGGGACGTGGATGACCACCTCGGCCAGCACACGCCACATCCCAGATGGTTCAGCCAAAATGGTATTAGAGATCTGGTGACAGGTGAGGCGCTGCGGGAGGTGGAAAACAGCACCGTAATAAAGCAATTCAAAAAGTATCAAAGTAAAATGGAATCTTTGGAATTCAAATGGAATAAAAAATAAATGGAATGTGACTTAGAGGCTGGATGGATAAGTGTATCGTTGGGAACACATGATGTAATCGATGCAGGGATAGTTGGGTTGTGAGATGGGATGGGATCAGGGATAGTTGGGTTGTGAGATGGCATGGGTTCAGGGATAGTTGGGTTGTGAGATGGGATGGGTTCAGGGATAGTTGGGTTGTGAGATGGCATGGGTTCAGGGATAGTTGGGTTGTGAGATGGCATGGGTTCAGGGATAGTTGGGTTGTGAGATGGGATGGGTTCAGGGATAGTTGGGTTGTGAGATGGCATGGGTTCAGGGATAGTTGGGTTGTGAGATGGCATGGGTTCAGGGAGTTGGGTTGTGAGATGCAGGGTTCATAGTTGGGTTGGGTGCAGGGATGTGAGATGGGACGGGTGAGACTAGAGATGAAATGAATAATCAGATAGGTATGGTTGAAAGATGGGATGAATTAGGGGGTGTTTAGGGTCAAGAAATGGAATTGGTAAAAATGAGGATATGATGTGTGGTGGATGGATTAGAGGATTGGTGGAGATGAGGGATGGAGTATAGGAGGGAATGGCTGGGATTACAGATGGGATGGATGAGAGAATTGGACGGACTGGCAGTTGGAGTGGATCAGGTGTAGGAAGATGGAATGAATAAGGAGATGGTGTAGGCTTTAGAGATGAGATGGAAGCAAGAATGGGCGGGGTTGATAAAATTGGTGGCAAGATAGATGAGGTTTAGAGATGTATGGATGTGAGAGAGGGTGGGGATGAAATGTAGGATAGATGACTGAGAAGCGGGGATGAGTGGGGTGAAAATTAAGATGAAAGCGTATAATAATGTGGGTGAGAGGGAGACGGATGAGAAGGGTGGGGATTGAGAGGTAAGATGGATTAAGGGATAGGTTAAGATATAGGATAAATTAGGGGATTTGTGGGATTGAGAGATAGAGCAGATTCGGCGATGAGTGAAGTTTGAGAGCTTGGTCGGAAACGGAGATGGATTGGGTTCAGAAATCATATGGATAAGGTAATGGGTAGGTTTGAGAGATCAAACGGATGAGGGGGGCGGGTGAGGATGGATTAGGGAACAAGTTGCAGTTCAGATGAAGATATTGATGGATTGAGAAATAGAAGGTAGGAAGGTTGAATTAAGATATATAACATGTGTTGACAGGTAGTGTTGAGAGATGGGATGGAGGTGAGAATATTTTGGTTTTATAGATAGAATGGAGGCGGGTATAGGTGAGGTTGAGAATTGTAATGCATGAGGAGATGAGTGTGGGCTGAAATATGGAGTCACTGATAGGATGGATTTGGCTCAGAGATAGGATAGATGAGAGGATTGGTGTGTTTGTGAGAAGGAATGCATAATAGAATTAGCTTCGTTAAAAGATATGATTGGTAGGGGTCAAGACTTGAAATGTATGAAGGGTTTGGCTGGGTTGAGAGAAGGGATACATGAGGAGATGGTTGTTTTGATTAATGGAAGGATGAAGGAAGAAAGATATGTTACGGGTGTCGGAGTGGGTGGTATGGGAGGTCGGAAAGATGATGTAATAAGCAGGCAATGAGGGATGTGCTGTAGACGGGGATGGTTGGGATTTAGAGGATGAAATAATGAAGGAGACGGAGTTTACAAATGAAATGGAAGCGAATATATGAAGGATTGAAAGATGTGAAACAAGAGGGAATATGTGGCGTTGAAATTTGAATGCGGAAAAACGGGGGATTGGAGATGGAAGGGCATGAGGGGGATGGGTGAGGATTAGTGATGGGATGAATGAAGGGATGGGTGGACTGAGAAATGCAAGAAGGGATAGAATGGGTGAGGATGAGAGATAGGATGTATGGGTGAATGAAAGGAATTGAGAGACGAGATGGATGAGGAGATGACTTGGGTTGAGATAAAGGATGGAAGATGGTTAGGGCGTGGTTAAGTGACATAAGAGGTGGAGAGACAGCTGGTGCTGAGTGATGCGGTGTATGAGGAGATTAGTGAGGTTGTTAGACGGTATGGAAGAGAGGAAGGTAGTGTGAGCTTTTGAATATATTAGGTGTTGGGTACCCAGTGGAAGCAAGTATGGGCGTGACTGAGAAATGGGATGAATGAAGGAACTGTTGGGTTTGAGAGATGGTGGGATGGGTATGGTTGAGATATGGGATGAATGAGGAGATGGGTGGGGTTGAGAGATAGGATGGAAGCAGGAATGAAGGGGTGGATGTGAGATAGGATAAATGAATTTGAGAGGCGGGAATGTTGAAGGGGTAAGTGGTGTTGGTAACTGGGATGAAACAAGTCATGGTTAGAGTTACACATGGAACTGAAGAGGGAGCAGGAGGTGAGAAATGGTGTAGACAAAGGGATAAATGTGACTGAGAAGAAGTGGATGAGGTGGTATATGTGGTTAAGAGATGGGAGTGAAGCAGAGTTGTGTTAGGTTGACAGATATGATTGAGCAGGAGATGGAAGGGGTTGAGACATTATATGGAAGGTGACCTAGGAATACTCGAAGTCGGATTTGTTTATTTTGAGTCACAGATAATTTTACTGTTCAATAATCATTTCTGAGGAATTATTAATAAATTAATAACTTACTGAACGCCGTTTTAGATTCGTTGAAGTCCTTGCCCCAGGTGAATTTGTTCCTTGAGGATTTTGTCCGAAGGAGCTTTGCGGAGAAGTTTCAATCTTTTGCTTCTTGGCCGTGTTAACAGGTTCTGGAATTATACTTATTAATTAATGCACTTCCATCTACTTTCTCAGACTCATTTTTGTATGACTGATCCCCATCATGTGAATGTTTTGTGATATCTTTACTGTAATAACAACTGCTAACTTACCAGCCATACACTGGTCATTCACAGGCCATATACTCGTCATATAATCGCCATACATTGGTCATTTATTAGTTATACTGACTATATATTAAACATATAATGGCCTTGTACTGGTCATACTGACTATGTACCGACTGCATGCTTGTCTTGTAGAAGCCATGTATTGTTCAAATACTAATTATCTTTTAGACATATACTTGCAATATACTGATAATCCTTTTTTGTAATTTACTGGTCTTATACTGGTCACATAGTGACCATATAGTGGATACAAAGGAGATCAATTAATCATATATTTTTATATAATGGTTATAAACTTCCCATATTAGATGACAATGGTAATCTCTTGACGCCGACTCTACTGAAACTGAAACTCATCTCTGTTACTTTAATTCATTTAGTAGACATAAAACAAATAACAAATTTATAACTCTGCTAATAACTCATGCATATAACGTACATGAAGCATAGTAACACATCATATATACCATGTATATATTGTGGCATGTTTCCCCTGTGTCAGCCCCGGTGTAGGGGCTCAAGGAGCCCCCGCCAGGACCGTTACTCACTCCCCGGAGGGTGGTACAGTAGAAGGATGAGCTTTCAGACGACTTCAGCTCGTAACTGCTCTTAGGGCATCGTCCTCAACACTTCAGATGGGATTCAGATTCCCCCATTGTCCACTGTATGAAACTCACACTGCACCCTGTGCGGTTATTGAATAACTGCGGAGGCTAGGATACCCCGTACTGTGGTAAACTTACTCAGACTCTAAATCGTCCTCACATGGACATAGCGCCACCACCGGTATATAGTTTTTTTGGAATTTTCTCAGTTGTTGTCCTGTAGGCACACACACTCACTTCCTCAAGGGTGTATGATACTTTAGATGTATACTGCAGTTTCTCCAGCCTAGCCTCTCCCATACACGTATGTCACACAATGCATATCAGCTATTATGATTCAGTAAGGGTTGGTCATAAGCAATAAATAAACAATAGGGAGGAGATGACACAGAAAAATAGCAACAAAAATCACAATTAATGAAAATAAATAAATTTATCTCAGTTGCTGCAGTACCCTCATCAAAATTTGAAACTTGCCGCTCACAAACCCTATTAACTCGAAAGTTTACTTTACAGTATACATTCATCTGAGTGTCACAAAACTAATTGGGCATCAACTCAAAAACAAAAATTACTGAGGCTGTTTTGAATAATTTTATATATTTATGTTAAATATAACCTCACATAACTTGTAAGAACACAAACAGTAAATCTTAAGCCATCACTAGCCCATGGCCATCAACTTTTAATTCCATCAAACTTGACTTTTTTCATAGTAAAATACAATGATAAAATAAATCTTGGAAATATTAGCAGTCAAAACAAGTACTAGAATAACCTAATGTCAATCCTCAGAATGAAACTAAATCAAGGGGAGGCAGGGGAGAGTAGTTACTTTGCTACAATAAAGGTACTGACGCAACCTGTCCTCTTACAAAAAACATTGCATTTTGTAATAAACGTATTGAATCTATCGTATCTGGGAGGAGCTATTATTGTTCTGGATGGATGCTCGCTTGACTGTTATTGTTTTGGTGACCGGCAGATCAGCTGTGTCTTGCATGTATACAGGTTGGTGTAATGTACTCTGTTACTCTCTATTTGTTTTAGCTTTAGTCATATGCAGTTTGCTTATTGTTATGGTGAATTGACAGTGCTTAAATTGTATATATGTGTTGTATATTATATGGCTTCGTATTATTACAGGATTTAACTGTACTGTAATTATTTGACCAATAAAGCCACAAGTCTAACAGAGCGTTTGTTTACCTCAATCTATAGAACAAATAATTCAGCCAGTGAACATGGAGCGGTTTGCTACTGACCCAAACTCCACCAACGCCGCTCAAGAATTGCGTCATTGGCTCTTGACATTCAAAAACTTCTCTCTAGCAGTATAAAAAACTACTCCTACAGTGGACAAGCTGGGGCTCCTCATAAACTTTGTTGCTCCTCGTGTGTTCAACTACATGTTGACCAGAACACACACTAGAAGGTGAAGGGACGACGACGTTTCGGTCCGTCCTGGACCATTCTCAAGTCGATTGTGATGAGGAATTGTTGTTGTTGTTATAGATTCAGCTACTCGGAATAAGTTGCAAGTACCACGGGCTATGGTGAGCCCGTAGTAGACTTACCTGGCACCGACTTACCACCGAATGAGAAGGAGATAGTAATAGGAATAAGAAGAGGATATTAAGGGAACGTAAGAGAAAACAATGAACAGAAAAAAAGAGAAGAGAGAAAGAAAAGGAAAGATAAAGATAAATGGAAGGGTAGGCTTATGTTAGGTCACGTTTGTTAGAAAGATTAGAGCATTTGAGTATATACTGTGAAAGGAAAGAGTCCACAGCAACAAAGCCAGGACTCAAGTTCATGTGGGGTACATTGTGTATTAGAGCCAATTCAACAAGACTGCGTCTGTGTAGAGTAGAAGCAGAAAAGATTATTTTGGAGGAGGACCAATCAACAGGATGATTGGAATCCCTCACATGACAGAAGAGAACATTGTTAGTGTCTGCAGACTTAACACTTCTCTTGTGTTCTTTAAGTCTGTCATTGAGTGTACGGCCAGTTTCGCCAAAGTATTGGAGAGGACAACACGAACAGGAAATAGAGTAGACACCAGCAGCATTAGAAGCAGGAGGAGCAGTGTGAACTAGATTGCTACGAAGTGTGTTAGTTTGTCGAAAGGCGAGTTTTATGTTAAGAGAACGAAAGGTATTGGTAAAAGTTTTGAGTTCAGATATGAAGGAAAGGCATAGTACAGTGCTACTAGTGTTGGAAGCAGGTTTAGGATGAAAGAAATTGCGTTTAGCTTGAGAGTAGGCACAGTTGATGAAATGCAAAGGGTAACCAAGGCGAGAGAATGATTTGTAGATAAAGGCAATTTCAGAATCAAGAAACTGAGAGTCGCTGATGCGTAGAGCGCGGAGGAAGAGAGAGACGAGGACACTTTTCTTAACAGAAGGAGGATGGTAAGAAAAGAAGTGAATGTACATGCCACTATGCATGGGTTTAAAGTAGATAGAGAAAGAGAACCCGGACACAGAGATGTGAACGTGAACGTCAAAAAAAGGAAGGAGGGAATTAGATTCTCACTCAACTTTGAAATGGATAGAAGGAGCCAGATTATTAAGAGAGGAGAGGAAGGGCTGGAAAAGACTAAGATCATGAGGCCATAAAGCAAAAATGTCATCAACATCAACATAGACAGCCAGTTGAAATTCACTTAAGAAATTTTATATCTTCCGCAACGTTGTAAAGCCAGAAATTCAGCTTTGCGCTCCCTGACAATTCTTAAGAGATGGTGCATATCTACCAGTACTCAAAATGTACTACGTTCAGGCAGTTAGGTCACTCATTCACTATGCTGCTCCTGCTCTTACATCCCTCAGTGATAACCAATGGGAGAAACTGGAAGTGTCCCAAAATGATGCCCTCAGAACAATGCTGGGAGTACCTATATGGTGGCGTCCAGAGAATATAAGAATGGAAAACAACTTACCAGCCTTAGAGAACAGGCTCAAACAAAGGAAAGCCACCATAACAGCAAAAACTTGTTGGAACCATCGCAAGACTGTCAATCAAAGATAGCATACACAGATCGCTTCACAGAAATATTCAATATAGAACAAGTGCATGGACGGATAATCTGATAAAGATTCTAGAGAAAGTGAACTTGAAAAGGACCATTAAAAATAAAGGGGAAGATAGACCATATCAACACTTTCGGCAGCCTCCTCCATGTAAAGAATCGAGTCTTAAGATAATCATTGAATGATTACCAGTTCAGAAATCAGCATGTGACTCGCAGAGGCTCAAAGCACTCATAGAACAACATATGAAAATCATCTCAAGAAAGGTCTCAAGAAAAATCTCGCCTGGCAAAAAGACATCCAGAGACATTGCAGTAGCCATATACAGACTCAGAATTGGTTACAAGTGCTGCCGGGAGGTAATAAACCCAATAGATATAGTGTCATATCTGTGGAACAAATGCAGAGGCGCCACTATTGCATTACTTACTGGAATGTAAAGCAACTGAATCTCTGCGCTTCAAACTCAATATTAATCCAACAACAGCAGCTGCATTAGATACAAATTCCACAGCGACTACAATGAATAGAAAAACAATTTAAGAATGGGGACACACTACTGAACATTTTTCATCTACACCCACCACGAAGATAATGTTATTAAAACATGACTAAAACTAGTGCACTAAAACAGAAGCGAAAAAGAAACAGAGGAAATGGTTTAAACCATTTAAAACTTTGATCGAGATATCACAGTAACAAGGTTATTGCGAATTACCGAACTCAATTATGGGCCCATGTAGCTCGTTCTACATGAACATTTCGTTTTGAGTAGCTAAATAAAAAACTACAACAACAACATACATTGAAACCCTTCTTCACTAGGCTACCACTTATAACTAGCTTTACTATCCCAAGTTGAAGTATTTAAATTTCAGTAAACTTATTAAACACCTCTACCTGTGTAACCGTGTCAGATGAAATGTTAAGAGCTTCACGCAGAATGATGCTGTGACAGACGTCCATTCCATGAAGCGCTCAGACATTTCTCTTGAGATCCAGAATTCGTTAATGATTTTTTTTCATTCTACATAATGGGAAGGGAGTCACATTTAAATGATCCTGCTGGCAAGAGCATTTTCCTCTTGTTATACCCAGGTTATACCAGTGGTGATTGGGTGCACCATCCTCAGAGCACCGTGCCTCCGACAGGAAAGGCAACCAAACCTTGCAGAGATCAACACACTGTATGTCCACTCAAATTTGGGACCATTTA